GTTATCCATAGACCAATGCTTGAGATGCACCCGATCCATTGGCGTTCAGTCGTGATCATATCGGTTGATGTCCAGTCTGTATCCTGTGACGAAAAACCGTATTAAATCATCCGTCTTGTCTTGAAGCTCCTTGACACTGCTTTTGGCAGGAAAGCAAGCCCACGTGAAATTCATCGATCCTCTCGTTATTGAAATCCTGAAGTCTGCCGCTGACTGATCACCACTCAAACTCGATCGACCGGCATAGTAATGCGTCATTGCAGCGGAATTGCGAATGAATTGAATAGGAAATGCAACTTATCATCAAGGAGGCAGACCGATATCACTCCTGGTGCGAGTCAGGTGACCGTCAAAAGAAGGCATATATAAGGCGCGACGCTCTGGTTTGCCCGACATCTCATCAACCATCACCTTCTTTTTGCCGACTAGAAAGTCCTCTCCCATTCTACTGTCTTCCCTTATCCATACTCTTTCACGCATCTCGCCAGCCTACGGAGGTACCCCGGAACATGAATCGCCAGGCGTCGCACCACTTCCAGCAACTTGGACCCATCTTGGGCGGACATAGAGCGTCGATGTCTGCAACCACCATCCAGAAAGCTGGATGATCTGTCTCTGTCGTCGCGACAGAGATAGCGGCGGGCTGCCTCGGTCATACATGAACCGGGGTGGAGCACTGTATCGCCGACATGTAAAAAAAAGTGTCTCGTCGGCGGTGTCGTGCTCGCTTTCGCCAAAGGGAAACCCTGACCTGTCTGGGGTGGGGTAACCCGTTAAATTCTGTAATACTACATCAAAAATAAGTGCCCAGAGCACCAAAGAAAAAATAATGGGCCTTGATAAAGGCTCTTGATAACTGGTGGCCAACTTTGCCGTGGAACAGATGGAATAGCTTAGAGTATTTAGTGTAGTACAGTATCTAGACCTGCAACCACGGAGAGGAGGAACGCCCCAAGCAAGAGGGATTCAGGGAGGAGGTCGGGCCTGCCGGGACGCATTCAATTGCATCCAAAGGCTCCTGATGATGACCCTGCGGCAAGGGTCGAAACCTCTTCAAAGCATCCGCCCAAAAAATGGCATCATTGTCCGGACATTGCACAGGCAGGAGAGTTGTGATACTGTGAATCAATCTAGATTTTGTCGTCGCAACCAGTCCGGTGCGCGCGAATGGTGAATTGTGTGAGTGATACGGGATCGTTGACAACTTGGCCTAGCCGAACACTATGCCATCCGTGCATACCAGAACAGGACCGAGAAGTCTTTCAAACATGACCGTGTATGTCACGTCATTCCGAGCCAGCAACCCATTCTGTATGTGGTATTATCATCTCTCAGTCAGAACAGTCATACTCGGGAGCTCCATAAAATTGGAATTGCATTTAAACAGTATATATCAGCATAGAGCAGAACTAACGACGGAAGAGACTGGTTGGAGAAAGTGGACATCTACTATTGGCGGGCGTACGAATGTTTTAGATAAATTTGACTACGTGAGGCCCAAGAGCTCGTTCACCGATGATGATGATGTCATTAAGATCATACTGAGAATCCGTTGGGTCCCTTTTCGATCTTACGTTCCCTTACGGAACGGTGTTTTGCTGCTAGACATGGTAATGACGACGCCATCTGAATGAAGGGTGAAATATGTCTGTGCAATCAGAGGGGAAACCACAGAGGCGACAACATAGGGCAGACGTATGAGTGCATGGACCACTATACCTCACACACAAGTCGAAGCACATAACAGACCGTCGATTACATTGTTCTTCCAGACTTCTGAGACACGGTGAGTCGACACCATGTACTGGGTCTGTCATCGTCACTTTCTGTGCACGATGACTATAGGAATATTCTTCAGCGTATTCAGTGACTTACAAACAGTAAACATCGAAAACCGCGTGAGTTGTCTCGGCATTCGGAGATACATACTGCAGTTGTAAGCATGACCGTCATTTTAGAGTGAAGCCAAAGTACCTCGTCCCAATATACGATCACGTCCCCACACATAATCAAGTGCGGTAAGGTAGCGGGGTTGTCCGTTCCTTGAAATTTTGTAATACGACAGTGATCGTCTGATGTGTACTCGAAGGGGTCACGACATTCTCTCACAGCCTTAGTGTGACTGTAGCAGACGGTATCGAGCGCCTGTTTTTTCATCGAGACTTGACCAACATCAGGGATCCCGAACGAAGAATATTCCCGAATGACTATACTGCGCCCAATGTAAGTCCGGGATTGACTACCCACGATACTTCGTTTGTGTGCGAAAACCTCTGCCTCTAATGCAACACTAACTTCATGCGAGGTCCACCAATCAAATTCCAGATGCAATGTTTCTGACAATGTCGGTATGTGTAGAATGCGCTTCCAGAAAGCCGATTTAATGCAGAACTCCGCCCAGAGGGGTTTACTCGAAAGCGTACTGAGAACAGGGAGAACAAAGATAAAAACGGAGCAATCGTCAATTGTAAAGTCTGCATCACGGTCCTTCAAAGCGCACTGTAGGGTTGCAGTGCCACACTGTGCTCCAATCTTCGTGCAGGCGCCGAATATGGTCTCCTCCGTGGTGCGTCGATAGTCAATTGTGTAAGGTGGTAGTTTCAAGATGGCAATGAAAGATTCACTGACATCAGCACGGCCAGTGAGCTGGTACAACTTTCTGATATCCGTAACAATCAGGCGTACGCGAGACTGGCCGTCACGTACTAGAGCAACGGCGCGGTGAAGGGTATCAGCGAAGCTGAATGACCAGAATGTGTCACTGCGCTGCAGTATTTCGGTGAGTGCTACAACAAGCGATCAATGCTAAAGTCTCACAAACTGTAGAGCCGGATATTTGCCTGCTAGATCAGCCAAAATCAGTCGAAAGGACATGTCATCGTGTACAAGAGCGACAGTTGCAAAATATATGCCATTGGTCGCAAATGACGCTCCAGAGCAATCTCCTCCCCGAACAAAATCATCCAATGCAAATATCCCGTCGATAACGCGCACGGGATTCGTTTGTGACCTATTCGTTCCCGCACATAGCTCCAAGACACTGAAATGTAAACGCCTACAAACATCTTGAACATCTTGAGAACATATGATCCAAATTTATGTCGCCTACCGTGTGTCGCACCATCCGAAAACAATCACGTCAGATCCAGAGCCGATCAATGAGTATGATCTTCGAGGCTCTGAGCCTGTCATTAGATATGAAGGAATAGCCCACGTATATTCGAGCTCATACACCCCACGGAGTGGGGAGGCAAAGCGCACAACCCGGGCATACCAGTCATGCCATGATCTCTCTTCGAACACAAGCGCTATACCATCTCCGAGGTGCATTACCCATGATCGAAACCCTGATGCAACTCTGTGCGACAGAGCCCAGTTTGCTCGAGAGGCGGCTGATGAGTATGTGATCAGATTCTCAAGCTTTTTCCCCACTGGCATTCCAGATTCAATGACGCGAAGACCTCTTCGTGACGCTTCTAAGTGTATCATGACAGTCGGCTCTTGCAGTAATCTGTGCAATCGCCGCGAGGTACTCCCAAGGCTCATGATGTACCTAAATGAGTGGCTCAGTTGCTCATAGATGAGAAGCAACAGCTCGTCCGGCAGTGAAAGGAGCATACTGAGAGAGGATACAGCAGGTTGAGCGTATGTGACAGTCATGTCAGGGTATATATATATTGTCAATGCGTGTACATGCAATGGTACGAGCTGCGCTTTATTACGCATGGATGATGTACCGCTGCGTGAAACTTTGCAAAATGCCTTTACCGCCTATATTACTGTATCAATTTTAATAAGAAGCATAGATGTGACTCTATGGGATGGGACTATCAGCGGAAGTCAAAATACTATGCGACCCGCACCCATGAATCAGCGCAGGCAGATAAAGCAGAGTCAGGTGAATATACTGCCCCACCAGATCCCCAGCCGGTGACGGGTCATGAGGGCTCAATCTTTGCCTTATCGTCCCCACTACCGTACAAGCTCCCCCGCATGCGTCATGACGTACAGGGTATGAGGAATACGCTTGACATGTTCTAGATTGAACAGAAGCACATGAAGCAAAGACAGATGATTTTACTCCCTCGGGAGAGGCCAATCCGGTGAGGAGATTGCAAGTTATGGCCCGCTGGGCACGGCCTCAGGAGGACGAGAGGAAGCAGCCGCGGTAAGCGGAGATGATGATTCGAGACGAGATGCGCTCGCGTGTGTCGCGGCGCTGCTACGCTAACGCCAACCCTAATCTAGATACGCCGAGTCTACTCTCTCCCTCTCCCCGCCGTCTCCCCGCCGGACCCTACTCCACCGCGCACAGGATAACTAAGCTCGCAGTACAACGCCAACCCCACAAGCACATTACGTAGATGGTGCGAGGATCAGAAGATCTAGGTAGGCCAGACGCTGATAATGTCAGGGGCCGATTCACAGGGCGAATACCAAAACGGCGGCGGCCGCGTTATCTTACCATCGGTACCCGCATACAGGAAGCGAAGGAGGAAGTCTAGCCCGTCGTACGAATCTTGTTTCATAAGCTCGTGACGTAGAGGGTGCGGGTGATAAGCCGCTCACACAAGCGGCATGCTGACTATCTTGGGGTATTCTTCACAGACTAAATGAAGAAGTAGCGACGCGTCCATCACCTGCAACAGACGCTATTCGGGGATAGCCATGCACTACGTCACTACTTATGTCCGTGTGAGCGAGTTGGTCGACGTATTTATACCACAGGGTCTCTCATTTTATGCTTTGTCACATCCATCTTCCTCTCCTTGGTGTCTCTCGAATGTCGTCTCTTCAGTCAGTAAAGGTATCGCATTCATTGTATATTTTGCATAAGGCTCGGGCATATTCGCTGATTTGCGTAGAACCTGTCCCCGTTCTTAAATGGACAGCCTATGCTCTATCGGGACTTTTCAGAAGGATATCGCATTGCCACGGACCGCAGGACAAATCCACAAAACGCCGAGAATCATTGGGCGGCAGTATACGCGGCCATATTGATGGCCTACCGTCAGACCACTCTCACCGACAAAGAAATCCCCGTTCGATCCGCGAAAGATGGCGAGGAACCCGAAATCAATCAACAAGACCATCTCGAATGTGGTTCAGTGCAGCAGCAGCACGCCATAGTAGCGTTGATAACCCTGCGTCCCCCCAAGACACAGAATCCCGACGAGACCATGGTCCTCACCCGCGGTTACTATCAGACTCTGATAACAGATCTGGCCGTCCTCCTGCGGCGAAGGCTGTTCAAAAGTGTCGGCAGGAATATCAAGGACTCCTCCGAAGTTCTGGTATTAGGAGAGCTGAAGCGCGCGCCTTCCCGTAAACTGTGGGATATCGGGACATGCCGTCTTACGAGCGAAAAGGGAAAGAAGAGGGTGAGCGAGCTGCTTACAGGTGCCACCAAACAAGCCGAAGCACAGGCAGAGCTTCTTCTCCGCGTCAACGTAGCTCAGCCAGGTGTTTTTCTGTTCGTCACCTCCGGTCCGTTTGCAGCATATAGGGCGTACATGAGAACGACAACGAGGAAACAGTTATCCTTTGCCGCCAGTGCTCTCGTTTTTGTCGCACAGAGCCAGCTTGACGTCGGCGACGACGAGGAGGAGGAGGAGGAGGAGGAGGAGGGGAGCAGCGAGCAAGCAACCATCGAGCTTCCACGGCGCAGCGATTTTAGCTCGGAGAGCGAATGGAGCGATTGCGGCAACATATTTTCACCCGCATTCCTCTCAGGGTTTGAAAAGACTCTGATATCTGTTTTCTCGAAGAATGCCTACTCCGCGACGTACAGCGCAGAATGATCCGCTATCAGCTTTGTTCCTTGCTAGCATAGGCGTGTAATGACTGGGTTTTATATGATGACTTGATTGAATCATAAAGCTATACTGCAGTTTTGCGACCGATTGCTCATCGGTATTGAGTGTGACGTGGGACATGCGAAGTACTCCTTTACCATCATCGTTTGCCAAGGGGTTGAGCGGCGTGGCATACAACAGCACGATGGCATTCTGCGAGGTAGTATTTGATTTGGGCGGGCGCTTTGCACAAGCACCGTCAATGTCTCAGCTCACCGATCGGGAGTGACGTCGGACAAACGGCGCAGACGGCCATGTTCGTTAGCGCGGGAATCGTGCGAGGAACAGGCAATCGTAAGGCTTCAGCAGGACATGTGTCAGGAGTGAATCACTCATTCTGGCAAGGCGCACAATTCACCGCTAATCATTCTTTATTCTATGAATTTTCCTTATAATCAACTCAGCCAATACTCTTCGTCATTTGCGCCACGTACATGTAGCCCGTGATTGCATGCTTTGCAAAACGTGTATAAGTAATTGTGGGCCAAGAATATTGGATCCGGGCCGGCTAGTGCTAGACATCTGGTCAAAGTCGTGATGATTTACTTCAGTCATTCAAGTATGTTATTGGCGTCTGCACCCGAGTGAATGCCGCAGAAAAGTTGAAAAGGGTTGCGTGGGAGTGCCCTGTATACATTCTAACGTACATGCTGTCACTGTGACCGAATCGACGCGGCAGTATGGAGCACTGTTAGCATTTCCAATGTCCAAAATCGTTGCCATGCAAGAATAGTTCGTTGACTGAGAATATGTACCAAGGTCCGTATATAGGCTGGTAGTAACCATATAAAGGAAAGATTGGGGACGCGGCAAATGTAAGTAATGACGATTGCCAAGATCCGCGCTCATTATGCAACATCCGCGGGCGTGTATGGTGTTTCAGCAGGCTGGCGATTGCGTGCGAAGCAGAGCGGGGTCAAGGGCCGTTCTATCTCGGCTTCTTCTTCGACACCTTTCTCTCTTTGAGGGACGACGTTACCTTCTACGCCAACAAAGCACTTACTACTTTACGCTCCTTGCCCATCCTTGCCAATTCCAAACGAGGTCTCCTCCCCACTCCCAAACGTACCCTCGACATCTCTAATGTTTGTATGCTCATGGATCACGGACACATGGTCTGATATTCTCCTTCCCGTCGCCAGAAGCACCTCGTTATAGTAATTATCGCACACTCTCAGACCGCCGCCACGCGCTGGATCACAGGCGCGTTTCGCACGTCCCCTTCCGGCAGTCTCAATATCGCCGCCTCCTTCCTCCCCTTGAACATTCACCTGTAACAACTTTATCAGCGCAGTCTCCGTCATCTCCGCGCCCTACCACTCACGCTAATTTCTCAGGCCACTAATCCCCATCCCGCTTGCCACTCTGGCTCCCTCGACTCTGACGCCGCCTACATACGCAAACCTCGTCGCAATATCGACCTCCCGCTTCAGGAATTTTTCCAGTTCAAGTCGAAGAATTGGCAACCGTCCCGAACAAGTGCAAAGCCGGTGCACGCCTCATCGACATTTTCGCCGACCGCATCGTGCTTGACACGGATGCACCGTCCAAGCGCAGCGCCCGTGAACATGATGAGTGGCTCGCCGCCTTCAGTACCAACCTATCTTCCATTCAGGATGACCCCACACAGACATATGCCTTCGCCGACGGGTCCATCCTGCCCCAAAAACACCATCGCTCGTCGACGGGCCTCCGCGCTTATCGCGGTCGCACCCCGCTCGCGGGTACGGCTCTTTCGATGGGTAGCTGCGTCTCGCTCGATGCCAAAGTAACAGCCATTCACTTGGTGATCAGCGCCCTCATCACCCTCAATGACGTTCCCGATTACTCATGTATTCGCCGACAACAAGGCCGCATTCAAAACTATTGTCGACTCTGGCCCTCACTCCTCTACTCCATCAAATCATACAAACTCTTGCGAGCCCAGCTATCTGCCAACCCGTCCCTGTTTTCTCCACTGGTGTTCCGGGCCATGTCTGCATTGCACCTAACGAGCTAGTCGACTTTGATGTCAAACGCGCCGCAGCCACCCACCAGCAGGATACATCGTCCTGACGATCGACACGGAAGAATCGTCGTCGTTCAGAATAGGGACTTTTGATCAGTTGATCAACTCAAGCACCCCCGCAAAGCGCGTCGGCGATCGACGGCTCGGGCCGGACGTCGGGTAACGAATCCTCGTTCGCTAGGCCGCGTGATGTGTTATATCAAACGCCTCAGACGTTTGAAGGATTGCCCAAGGTCACGCGCTACAAGTATCTAGTCTGAAGACTACAGTACGATCGAGGAATACAGTGGTCCAGTAAACCCTATCCCGCATTCATTGTCTCCAATCATCAGATCATGTACATTCTGATAACAATGGCCAACAAGATAGAGTTCCATCTTACTCGCACCTTGGCTGATTGATGTCACCACCTTGTACATGGACTTGGTCAAGTATGATGCAGTTTTGGGTGACTTGTGGGCGTGGGAATCCCTTCGGCAAAACATGACTCCGAACAATCAATCACGTGGGAAGCTACGTAATCAGGACATCTATATGTCTGCACACGTGTTGGTTGCGTCGGCGTCATCACTTCCGTTCCACCATCATGTCAGCGTGAGTTGCTCCATTCTTGATCCAGCTTCGCAACAAGCTCACATTCGTCCAGAGCCCCAGACCAGACAGACGTGTCGTGCGTGGTCTACATGGTTGCGCCGCCAGAATGCAACTGTGACTGAACTTTTTGACAGGATTCCTGATCCTCCGGATAGCGCGGGTTATCAGGTGTTCGGATGGGTGTGCAATGGGGAGGAGCGGGATAAGGCGATCAATTTCAACAAGTACATCAAGGAGAAAACGGACAACGAGTATGCCGAACGGGATGAGACGAACGCTGTCTATGTTGTTATGTGTATGCACTGGCCAGGATTACGGGGTTTAGACATCGGAACTTACCCGGTCTCCGTGGAACGGGCCGCAAGAGAACTGCAGATGGGCGACCCGAGGTGGCACGAGGTCCAACTCTCTCAACGTTAGCTCTGGCTTGCACGTCGCTGCCCTACCATTTTCAACTGTCTCCAATGATACTTGGTCTCCCCCGCCGTGTGCGATGTATTGTCAGAGTTTTCTACGCAAAGAAGATAGCCCTCTCGTGTAAATGATAAGTCCGTTAAAGGCGCGTATGAAGTGCCAAGACAGCTCTAATGCCAAGGATCCCATACGTATCACCATGAGCAGAAGCTCTGTTCAGCATCAGAAATCTTTTGCAAAACCGACAAAAATACAATATAAATGTCTCAAAGTGAGAAGTTAAACTTTAAAGTTGATAAGGGGCAAGGCACAATGATAGAGCACGTGTAGAGAAAGGTTTTTCTTGACAGCGACCTTTGTCCATCACGACTTGATGGCACCACCATTTCCATCTATTGACATCATGGGAGGCAATTCCCAGGGCTGTCTGAACGTCCTTCGGACGTCCTTTGAGTGCACCTTCAGCTACGCGGTATCACGGGCCGGGAGGTCCATAGTCTCCTCGAAGCCGAACACGACTGCCGGCATCTCGCTCACTCTAAATACAATTCAACCTTCATCCGTCCTGGTTCACGAATACCTGTACGGTACTCGTTCCAAGATATTAAAGCAGACTTGTTTATATCTTCTCAGCTGAAAGTCGTGAAGCTTAATCATTAGCCAATACAGTATGCATACCTTTCCCAGCCTTGTGTGGCGCCACATCCGCACCACATAATTTTGAAGGGACAAAGGTCCTCCACAAGCACCATCCGGCGCCAGCTGATTCTGGCTGTTAGTTTTACTCGAGAGAGAGTATCCAAGGAATAAGGCTGTCTTTATTATCTACATTCACAGACACTAACTAAGAAGACCGCTACCTAGTAGACCATCAGCCAACAAAGAGGATAGTCGTACAAACGAGAGTCCCACCGGTTTCCCGATTGAGGGATGCGCACGCGGGAATCGGGCCCTTCACCCTCAAAGGACGACCTGACAGCCTTGCGAAGGACGGCCCTGGTATGTGCCTCTCGTGCATTCACAGAGCCCACAGACAAGCCTTCGGGATACAGAAAAGCCGGATGGAAGGCCAGAAAGCCCCTGCTTGTATGGATAAGGAGATGTGCCGTAAGGCAGGCCACCGTTTGATTATAGGAGATTGCTGACGAAGTGACATGTGCAATCGGAGTTCATGTGTGATCATGTCAAGTCATTCTAGGGCGAGAGTAGAATTGAAGAATTAGGAAGCTAAGAGGAACAAAGGAGATCAGAAAGGCACGGAGGGGTGAGTCCGACAATCAAGTGGGCTCAGATATCCAAAGAGCGGCGATCCTTTGGAGGGGAGGATCAAGGACTGTTCAAAGCAGCTTCTTGTGGTACATGCGCCGCGCGCGCTCGCTCGAACCCAGCGAGGACCCTTTGCCAGGCCTTGCCGGCGCCCTCAAAGGTACACGCAAACTTTTGAGTTACAAGTTTCTGGTGATTTAAAGATTGCCACAATTTTGCGCGGGCCCTTGTCAACGGGACATAACCGAGCGTGAGATTCTTACGGATCTCACACATCCCAGTCTGCGGGACGGACAGAACGATCTAGGCTTGATACTCTCTATGGCTCACTCTGCCGGGGGATGGATCTGTGAGTGTGTTTCACACAGAATGACGCCTTTCGTGCGGTTTGGAATGTAAAAATGAACCCTAGGCATTGGCGCGCAATCATCTCGGCACTGTAAATGAAACGTCCGGTGCAGAGCGCGGTGCTGCCATCATATATGAAAGCACCCTCCTCACGAGACCGTCTTTCCGAAAAGACAGACCAACCTGTATTCCCACCCTGATGTGCAGACTGCGAAACATGACGCTGTCGAGATTGTATCTGCTAGGAAGACTGAAGGATGCAGCACTTCTCGCAGAAGCTTGTTCCCGCTCGAGGTCGATAGTGATGTACCGATTGCCGAGATTGGCATCTAGTATCAGTCCCAAGTTGAAGACCGAAATTACCACGGGAACTGACATGCAATCGGGGAACGGTGCATGATTGCACGCATGCATGCATGACACCAGGTTGCCACTCATGAGCGTGGCACACAGCACTGCTTTCAACTGCGACGTGAATGAGTAGTGAATGAACTAAATACACCACGGAGGGACTCTCTTACTGTTGCAAATATTTGCTAGGCTTGCTCACGGGTGGCCAACGGTGGCCAAGTCCCTTCTGTAACCAAGACCACTGGGATCCCAATGTCAGGCGAACACATGTTGGCGTTTCGGGCTTCAAGCAGTCGCCGCCGCGTGGCCAAGTGAAGGCCAAGTGGTGGTCAAGTTTTAGTTTCAGTCTGATACTGCCGTGGTTGCAACAGCAACTGACAAGATTTGAACGTATCGTGCGCAGTTCAGAAACACACACGGCCCAGGACCCCTAACCATGGTATAGGCCGAGCTCTGTCCTCTTTCATACGTATAGAACCCATACCCGGCTAGAAGGCAACAATAACCCGCCTCCCGCCAGCCCCCATCCCGCCGGCCGAGTAGTTGCCGGTGGATATTGTGGATAATCATTCAATAAGCTATTCAGGCATTGCCGCACTGCCTAGGCTTGATACCCTCAGAACGTTTTTGTCGCCGACCTCAAGACACTGCTATATTCATTGTGCACCACCCAACTGCGCTTCTAGTACCATCAAGAAGCTTGACACCACAATCACCCATAATGATAGTACCGGCTACAATTCTCGAGCGCAGCTACCCCTTCTGTCGTTGCTGACGCCACGGCCGTGGTGGTACCTTAAACTGAGCAGGCCACACATACTTTACCGAGTCAAAGACAGAGAAAACTGCATTAGTGAATGCAGTCAGTACGTGGACGAAGTTCGGCCAGTCAAGTAGTGCTCGAATCGCGTCGTGCGTAGGGTGCGCAGAGATTGACGGCACCAGATCCGGGCGGAGACGTTCCACCTGTGCGAAGAAGCGAGCGCGTATGAGGGGCAGTGTCGTGTCTGCCATACATTCGAGAAGAGCGTGTTCGGGGGACTCCGCCGCTCCTGCACAAAAACGACAGAGCCGATGCTCCCTCGGAAAGAACATTTGACCGAGGGTGAGATCCTCATGACGCAGCGAAGAGTTGTTACAGTCTTCCCCTCACCTAGACGGAGAGAAGGTGCAGCGAGTTATGGAGGTCATCCGCGACTCAAGGATCGTTTTGTGCTCACGGCCTGAGCGCGTCGCGGAGAGCTCGCGTAAACTTTTCGCGCTTCTAGAGGAGCTGCATGTGTAGATTATCGGTAATAGGAGGGCTGCTTGTGCTCGTTGAGTTTATGGCAACGCAAAGTGCTGATGGGGTCGCGTGTACTTAGTAGTCGTGGATGTAATCGTAGCGCCAAACCCCGGGAGCCAGCTGTGCGGTAGCGGCGGGCTAATAAAGACATCTAGTGGCGCTAACACGGCGAGGTCTGTGTGAAGACCAGTTCTGATCGACGCGCCGGCTCGAATCGGGCAAGTTGATTCACCGGGTTCTACTGGGATATAAGTAAAAGAAGTTGTCCGAGCGACCTCATTTCAACACAACACGCCGCCACCATGCGCTACAGATTAGCAGAGATGGATCAGTGGGCAGTTGTTCACGAAGTCGTCTGGCGCCTGCAGGCACGTTTCCCGCCTTCCGTGTCC